TTGAGTTCAAGGAAAGGGTATGTAATGTTTCTATATCGTTTATTACTGGTAGAGTTCAGGGAAAGGGTATGTAATGTTTCTATATCTTTATTACTGGTAGAGTTCACATATTAAATGATATATAATAATTTGTTTTGGTTATAAAGAACTGGCCATAATATCTGATGAAATCACTCATCGTCTAAATACAAAACACCAGTAGTAAGAAGTGGGAATAATCGCAACACTGATGGTATTCTTGGTTATTTTTTGTATGTTATGAGGAACTCTGTAACCAAGTGATGGAACCACAAGAAGTCGGATGCATAAATATGTAGAAAGTTTGTTTCAAACACAGTTGAAATTTATATGGTCTGGTAGTTCTATGGTTAAACGTTCTGTCATGAGAAAAAACATTTGTCCTTGGCTTTGTTTTGAATCATGATTAATCAGCATAAACTGAAGACTGTAACGTATTGTTAAGTCATGAACTGTAACACGATCCTCAAAACTAAAATGCTTAGCATATGTACTTTTCTTTGACAAATAATTTCTGAAGGTTTTGCTTTATTCTAAAACAAAGATAATAGAAAGGCATAACAGAACTACCTCTACAAAATGTTGTAACAGTCGTATTTTCAGTACTTACGAATCAGGTGTGGAGTTACTCTGGGTACGCAATTCTACTTCTGCAAGCCTAAAATACGAGGAACAGACAAAGTATCAGAATAATAAACAGTTTTCAATAAATTAGAAGTACTTTTTCTACTTCTGGGCATGTAAGATATATTTATAAATTACCATAGAGTGGTAGCACAGAAATAGACTTAATTATCAAGTATTATTATATGGTTTGATCACTGCATATTGAATTATTCATTTACATGTATATGGAACTCCCTTGGAAGTTTGCTAGTACGAATCTTACCTGTTGGCATACAGCTCTAGACGAGAATGCATTTCTTTAGATGAAACTGACTGTTGTGGAGATGGTGCAGGGCTTTCCAAATCATCTCCTTCGAGTACTGTTTGAACAGGAAGATAACCCATCCGATGATGCTTCTTAAAATGTTGTTTAGATTTGAATTTATTGCGGACTATCCTTGTGAAGTCACGCATGTCTTCACCAGAAGTTGTCTAAAAAAGTTAGATTATGAACAAAAGATTACCTTTTTTTTAAAATATCTTTTACATGTATAATCACATCCATGATGTTTCTAGGTTCTCTTCATTTATTACATCAAACATCCATGTTTTTAATGCTGTTCTCAAAACGTAATTTTTTAGAATAAATTATATTGGAAAGGCACATTTTTCATTTCTAAATCATACTTGCAGGCTTATGTTTTAGAATATATATATATTAATACCAATTTGGATATTAGCTTGATAATTTTAAAAATGTGTGTACAGATCAATTCATAGATATTTTTCTTACAGGGTGATTAGCTAATGGAATACGTTACCATTGGCATCAGTGGAGGTTAATGTCTTACAAGTTTAAAAGGGGATTCATGATTTCCTGAAAAATAAAGGGTGAGTTTAATCTTTTCATTTTCTTTGGTGTGGGTGTCAGGAACAGCATTAAAGGACCAAATGGTTTCTTGCTGTCTGTATGTTGTAATAAAAAGACCATCTCTATTGTCCAATTTCCTCAAAGACAGTTTACAAGTATCATCTTGTGATCAAATCTTTTATACTTTTTTCACATTCCAATTGTTGACAGAATTGAAGAACAATGTCACTGTTGTTAACAGAAACAGTTGTTCACACATACTCACATTCCAGTTGTACCACTGTGTTGACAGAAACAGTTGTTCACACATACATAGGGACATTTTATGCCCAAAACTAATTTACTTCAAAATTTCCGGTCTGAAATTTTTCTAATATATTGAATACCTTCTACTTCATTTCCAAATTTCTGGTGTACACAGGGGTGAAAAGTCTGCAGTACTAACCAAAACTCAGTTTGACTTATTTTTGAATTCCAAATATTATTTTTTTTAGTTCTATAACTTTTTTGTATTCCTTTCACTGTTCGATTTGAATAATGCATGAAGAGTCGTTGTTAGCTTGCAAAGAACATTATATTACCCGTATAACTGCAAGGCCAGGTCCCGCAAAGGTAAAAAGCTGTACTTCTCGAGGGAAATTTGTACGACTGAATTAGCTTGAACTTATCTTTCTAACGGGTTGAAATATGAATATAATTTATTTAACTTACCGTCACACAATATTCCTGCATTGGATGAGATAATTTGTGGCTCTTGGCTTTTCTTCCCGAGAAAAAACAGTTCTGACAGAGGTCAAAGTTGAAGCATTTCAAACATCGGTATCTGAAAGATCAAATGTGGAGTAAAACGAGAGGGCAGGAAACTGCTTTATGTCTACTGGCTGAGGGTAGAAAAAACTGTATAAAGGGCAATGTTAGATAATGTTCCCCCACCCTCCTCTCTTTTGTAATTAAATTCTTAATGACCTCATTAGGCACTGCTTTGTGGAAGATAATAATGGACTCATTTAACTGATTAAGTACTTATGTCTTTCAATTCAAAGTGAAAAGTCTATAAAAAGTGGAAATGTGCCCTATTTCAGGGTGTTTTTATCCCCATTCTTAAGTAAAAATCTTAAAATAGAATAGTTCATATACAATGTTGGATAATTTACATTTACCATGCAAAAAATTACAGTAATTGAGACAACCATCAGTAATGCACACCAAAAGTATATAAAACAGATGAAATGTGCCCTTGTATGGACTTCTTGGGCAAAAATCCTAAAACTAAGTAGCTCATGTACATCAATGGAAAGTTTCCAGTTACCATACCAAAAATTATGTCGACCGAGCCATCCTATTCTGGGTGATGGTTGCTAACACAGACACACACATATAATGGATTGTCTTTAGAGCAGAAAACCTTACATGAAAAAAAGATGAAATGTGACACCCATCCACCCAATTATTCATTAATTATCTATAAACAAGTGAGTCTGACAGACCTTTACTTTCACACAGGGTAATTTCTTAGAATTGCATCTTATTTCAGTGGTTTGTTTTTCAGACAAAACTACATATTCAACTGTGGTATAGGTTGCTTGAAATATAACCAGATCATAATTAGGTCTCTTCTGATCACGAGTTTTTGGTTAAAATTATAGAGGACTTACACTTTTTTGCACTTTTATTCAAGAATATAAATTTATATCAGAAAAATGGTCAGGGATTTTATCCAAATTTTGGATAAATCTGGTATTATCACTATTGACTTAAAAAGTAACCTGAATAGAGTTAAACCTGAGTCTAAGAATCTGATTTTTACAGATGATACTAGATGCACTGGAAGAAAGTGTAGCTACTTTAATCCAACAACTGGATACTGTTTAACAATGGTACTAAATACATGAATTACAAGAGTAGCTACCTCAATCCAACAACTGGATACTGTTTAACAATGGTACTAAATACATGGGTTTCAAGAGTATCCAACCTGAATCCAACAACTGGATACTGTTTAACAATGATACTAAATACATGGATTACAAGAGTAGCTACCTTAATCCAACAACTGGATACTGTTTAACAATGGTACTAAATACATGGGTTTCAAGAGTAGCTACCTTAATCCAACAACTGGATACTGTTTAACAATGGTACTAAATACATGGGTTAAAACAGTAGCTACCTTAATCCAACAACTGGATACTGTTTAACAATGGTACTAAATACATGGGTTAAAACAGTAGCTACCTTAATCCAACAACTGGATACTGTTTAACAATGGTACTAAATACATGGGTTACAAGAGTGGCTACTTTAATCCAACAACTGAATACTGTTTAAAGCTAATACTCTATGTACGGATGGACAGAGTAACCAACCTGAATCCAATAATTGGATACTGTTTACAGATGTTACACTTAGCTTGATGTTTTGCATTTTCTGCAGCAATAAGTCTGTGTAGAACTGGGAGCCACACCAAAGACTGTGGTTCATGTTGAAGCCAGCTGATGAAGTGGGTGACTTGAATCTCTTCCTTATTGCCTCCCTACGATGGAAATAATAATTAAATACTGGACCCAGCATAGGTCTAAATATCACAAATCTCAAAAATGTTTTTTGTCACGAAAATGCTTTAAATCCAATATAATTATAATTAAAATACGTTTATAAGTAAATATTAATGAATATAATTAATATATCTTCTTATAAACTAACTTTAAACAGAATAAAATATTATTTATAAATTAATTTGGTGTCACATTTTCAGTATCAGCTTCTGTTAAATAAGGTTTAGGTATTTTGTTTCTATCATTTACAACGGTAAGATTATTTAGCAGTTTTTCCAGGTAGAACCATCTAAGAGCCTATCAGAGTAAATGAACATTAATTTGGATGTAATATACTGTTTTCTGTAATCTTTCCTTTTTTGTTTGTTAGATAATGTAAAGACCTTCTTTCACGTACAATAGTTAATATTGTAGAACTCCATGCAGAGTATTGTTTGTTAAACACAAAACTAGACATTGAACATTACGAGCCCTCAATGCCACAGTGGGGCCTAAGTAAACTTACCTTTTCAAAACAACTTCGTACACTGGGCTCGATGTTGCTACCACCAAATGCTGCAACTTCTCCCAACAACCTGGGAATCTGTGGAGTTAGTTTTGTATTTTTAAATATTCATAATAAATACTTAACTCAGAACATATTTAGAATTTTAAAAAATTATATATAAATTTAATAAAAACTTATTTGGATTATTTACCATTATGATTTCTTTTTTTTATAACCACATCTGTTTTTTTCAGTGTAAAATTTTTCAACTACAAAAACTTTCACTGTTCATGCATACCTGTTTTTTGATCTATTGATTATAAAATAGAAATTATCAAATTAAATGTTGCTGGCTGAATTCCTTAAAAATTGCTAATTTCGAATAAAAAAATTAGATTAATAATATTAATAACTTTGTAAGTTTTATTTATTATCTGTTCTTCTATTTCAACAATTTTGTTCAAATAATTACATCATTATTAACCATACAAAGTTAAGAATTAAGGTAAATACAATAAAATCTTACATTTATATCTGTAACATATTTCTAATTAATTTTTTTTATAAAGAATTTAGAATTTACTAACTTAATAGGAGCAATATTAGCGTATTTTAAAATAAAATTATTAGAAGTTTAGTATTTTTTATGCATTCCATTCGTTAGTTAAGTAACTTACTCTTTTCTTGTTGTTATGTTTCATGATTTTAGTGTGTTCTGTAGGGAAAGTGTAAATTATATTAGTTTAGTGTAACATTGTTATCAAATTTTAAAAAATCTCAAGACAAAGTAGGTTAAGTTTTCATTTTTTAATTAAAAACCCGAAAATATTTTCTATTCTCAAACAAAAGAAGGTTGTTGGTATTTCCAAAGAGAAAATAATTTGATTTTTTAAAACTAACTGACCTTATTTGTGTCCGATTTGTATTGTTCTTGTGTTTTTACAATGCAAATCACCCTTATAAATGTATCCACAGCCCCAAAGATCCGTACTCTGTCAAGTTATCAACTTGGCTATGTTTGGCCCAGATCTTAGAGATAAAAAAAAGTCAAAACTGTAAAAACCAATCCTTTAAATCTGAACTGTTTTAAGAGATTGCTATTTCCTGGTTCATTGTCAGTGAAAATTTAAATGACATGGAATGAATGAAAACTATTGACTAATGTATCATACTAAATCATTTTGACATTACGTTTGTGGTTGAGTGAACTTTAAATATAAATGTCGATTGTCCAAAACTTGAACATTAATTACAGGTTTTTCTGTCTAATTTTGTGTTTTGTTTTTAACAAATATGAGTTATTCTTTCTGTCTCCCCTCCACTATGTGGAGTTCAGTTTTTGTAGAAAACATGGGCTGACATAGATAATGTTGATGGTTTGGGTGCCGTACCCACTTTTTTAACCCACTTTCTTTTTCTGTTCTCAAACAGACTTGTTTCGACTAATAGCTGATGTAAATGGTTCGGCTGATGAACGGAAACTTGGTCTTCTGTTACACGACTGTGTGCAGGTAATATTTTATAAGAATTACATTGTAACACCTTAAACTTTGTCACAAATTTACTAGTTTTTAGTATGTTTTTCAGATATTCATGCAATGCTACACAAGGGCTATTTACACTAACTGTTTCTAACTTTGTACTGCTAGATTAAAGGGAAGCCACCACCAATTCTTGGGCTTCTCTTGTCTGACTGACTAGTGAGATTTGACAAGATGTAATCAAGACAAAATCTGTGTTCAATCGTGCTTTAATAAAGTATTCGAAAAACATGTGCAGATTGAAAGTTTAGTCATTATTTTATTTCAAGTATGGAAGTTATGAAAATGTTTTCTATCATACTTTCAGTCAAACATACTTTGAAAAGCATGCCAACAATCCTAATGAAGAATTAGATATATCCATTTCAGTATGAAATAACTGTGAATCAACCCATGATCCTACTGGATGTTATACATCATCCCGTGATCCTACTGGATGTTATAGATCATCTCATAGTTCTACTGGATGTTATAGATCATCCCATGATACTACTGGATGTTATAGATCATCTCATGGTTCTACTGGATGTTATAGATCATCTCATGGTTCTACTGGATGTTATAGATCATCCAGTGATCCTACTGGATGTTATAGATCATCCATGATCCTACTGGATGTTATAGATCATCTCATGGTTCTACTGGATGCTATAGATCATCTCATGGTTCTACTGGATGTTATAGATCATCCCATGATCCTGTGGAAATACTGAGACTGAAAATACTCATGTCAAATGAAGTCCTGTGTCCTGGATTTGATTTTGTATGAGATGTTGGCTATTTCACTCTCATTCACAACTAACTTTAGCAGATCTTAACTAATCAAATAAAAAGAATGATATTGTTAACCAGTAAAAAAGGTCTTGGTTTAAACCAGCCTGCATTACATGAAATCACTTATACCTTGAACGTTTCAACACATACATGGTTTAAACCAGCCTGCATTACATGAAATCACTCAGACCTTGAACGTTTCAACACAAACATATTTATAAATAATGTTCCACAATAGCAAGGTTCGTATAGTACTTACACCTAAATGTATCCTCCAGACTTCCCTGACACAGTAGAACAATGCCGACTTTAAAAGACAGAATACGAATATAGCCAGTTCTAGTAGAGCTGACAGGAGAAAGCAACAAAAAAAACTGTTCAAAAGAAATAATTCATGACACATTTAAACACAACTTGAGAACAGTTGTTTAATGAATCGTATGTTAATCAACATATTTCATACAAAGAACAAGATTTACTTTTAACACATCAATTGATATCTTCCAGGGTAAAGCCTAATGAGAAAATTGGGGGTGCTTAGAAACGACTGTTCCTCTTCACCCCACTCTTGATTGGAGTGAGGGGACATGCATGGAGAATGTATTGTTCATACATGGTATCTACTCTGATCAATGGCCATCGTTGGACTTATGTTCCTTCAGGGCAGTGAGGATCTATAAATCCAGTGCCTAGAGGTTTAGTTGTGGAGGGGGGGAATGGGAGTACACTGAGAAAACCCACTCTCATTGATCAAGCACTGATTAAACTACCTGACCAGTGTCCAGTTAGTCCTGGATGGTGTTGGGGATGAAGGAGTAATAGACATAATGGTTAATCAGTGTAAGAGGACTTTCTTCATAGTGAAAATACATCTGGAGGAAGTTGATTGGCTGAGGGTAAATCTATCAGGGTGTGAGTCTTTATCCTAACTGGTGGAAGGGTGATGGAAGAAACAAAAATTTGTGTGGGACCCATCTATAACTTTTTAATGCAGTAGCGGAGAGCTGAGGGCTAATCCATCGAGAATAGAGGAAAAACCAGCAACATTGCTGGAAGAGGTTTGCTAAGCTTGAAGGTGGGCATGGTGTAAGCCTAAGTAGTAACATTTAGAGCTGAATAATCTTCACATAAAATGATCATGTAGTTTGCTGGAGTAAACAGAAGACCACAAGATTGCTTTTTACAATAATTCCTTTTTTTATGGCTTCTTTAAAAACTCATTTCTCAGATTCCTGCTCTGCATTGCATATAAACTGGTAAAACAGTTTTTCTGGTGAAATTAAAATATAAAAATTTACATTTGTTCACTACTGTAGAGCAGCTAGTAGTTTTATAGCAAGAACTTGAATTAGAAAAACCAGTTCTAAATCCATCTATGTGTCATTTATTTCAGTTTTATAAACATTTTCAAAGACAAATATTTTGTTTGTAATTGCCAAAATTTAGTTTGACTTTTTAATTCAGACTGATGTGCATGGTTTGCCTTGGAGCAATATAAAGACTAATCCTACTGTATAGCTTTGTGGTAATGAAACTTGGTAAAATGGGATAGTCTGTAGAAAGATAAAGTGGCACATGAGTAAGAACATGAACCAGTTGAACTTTTGAAACAACTATCATACATCAACCATATACTTTATGTATTATATTTATATGATAAAGATATCACAGAATACAAAAGGATGTGCATATACATAGATATCAGCTTACGTGTCAAACAAATTCAAAAGCCAGTTTAAGCACAAATCTATACTCAGAGGTTTATTGACTAAAGAGGCTGGTTCGCTGGACGTGCCCTCGTAGATCGTTGAAAGGCATGTGATCATTTCAGTGATACTTATAAGTTTGTCATTCTGAGCTCGAAGACCATGCTGATCAAATGCATTGATGAGGTTGTTCAAATTCAGAAGATCCACTGAAAAATAAGTAGAGCAAAAAGTTGGAAAATTACGTTGTATATCAACAACTATTTTGATAAATTTGTTAACCCTAGAATTCATTTTGGAAAGTGTAACAAGATTTACTTAATTGCAAGCTGAGTATGATAGAAATTGGTTGCCAGTTTCAATTAAAACAATCTCAACACAACATAAATTGATTATTAGTTCAAATTAAAACAACCTCAGTGCAATAACAACTGATTGTCAGTTTAAAATAATCTCAGTACAATCAAAATTGTCAGTTTAAATTAAGAGAATCTCAGTATGGCAGAAACTTATTTTAAGTTTAAATTAGAATATTCTCATTATGCTGGAAATTAATTGTAATAGATAATTGTTAAAGCCTTGACTTATTAAAGTTAACTAAAACTTTTGTTCTTGTTTTGATTTCAATGTGATGTGTACTTACAACACAACTCTTTCTGTACAGTGCGTAGTTTCATAGCAGTCCTGTAGGCAGAGTACCTAACGTTGTTGTATTTGGCTATATGGATAATAAAGATAACATTAACTACTTGTACAATTAGACTTGTGAACATGCCTAGAAAAAACAATACTCAAGAAATCATGCAGAAAATATTATTGTAAAAGTTACATTTATCACGTCTAAGAACAATAAGTTAGTATTAGAATTTCTGCAATGAATATTGACTGGGTATTTTTGAGAACTAGCTGACATCTAGGATAAGATTTTTAAAACTTTTGTCATTTATCATAAAACTCGTTATTCATGTAAGCACATTCAGATCATCTAAACAGTTACAGTAAATTATGTTCAGACTTTCAAAAAGTCAGTTTTCCAACTGGTAGAGCACTGTTGATGCACAATACATGTAAAGTAAGAATTTATTTTCTACACAAAAATATTAATACACTTCTTGTTTAACCCTTATTTTGTCCAAGAATAACCTCAAATTTATATAATAATAATCTCATTAAACAATTCCTACAATTTGAATTTGAACGTTGAAAATAAATTTTAAAAACAACAACAGTATCTATATAAAAACTGCTCCAATAACGAATGACTCATTGAAAGTGAAAAATTTTCCCCTGATATTTACACTCAAATAAAACATACCTAATGACTCCATTAACTCTACCATTTTGGGATGGTCCCAGTGTGTGGTCTCGCTTAGGTGGCTAGACGAGGGAGAAAAGCTGCTAACATAACACTGTTCTTTTATTCCTTTGTTAAATTTTGTTATAACTAAACAAACGTTTATGTTTACTTTACAAAAAAAAACGTACAGTAATATCTATTCTTGTTAAGTTATTCAAATCAACTTTTTACAGCTTTAACTAATCTCCAAATACTAAATATCTTGTTAGTAAAAATAAGCTGCTTACTTGATGTAATAAGGCACTTTGTTTCCCGAAACAGCTCGTTCCCATGGCTCCTCCACTGAAGCTGAAATAATAATTTAGCAGGGCATCAGTAGTAATGATACATAACAACCAATTTTTCTTCTCAATATGTGACTCATTACAAATATGTAAATTTCTTTCATTCAACAACAATTTGTATAACTGAAAAACATTCTTATGAAGAGTTCATAAGCCCTCACCTTTACTTTTGTATTCTAAAAGCCAACATATATGAAATAACCATACAAAACTAAATTAAAGTACAACATCTGTTTCTGCCCTTATTACTAGTCATATTTAAACATATCTTTACTGGCATACACTTTCTATGTATAAGTTTCATAGTTAGTGTTTAACTATACTTGACAACAAAGAGTACTAATGTTTAACTATACTTTACAACAAAGGGTACTAGTGTTTAACTATACTTTACAACAAAGGTACTAGTGTTTAACTATACTTTACAACAAAGGGTACTAGTGTTTAACTATACTTTACAACAAAGGGTACTAGTGTTTAACTATACTTTACAACAAAGGGTACCAGTGTTTAACTATACTTTACAACAAATGGTACTATTGTTTAACTATACTTTACAACAAAGGGTACTAGTGTTTAACTATACTTTACAACAAAGGGTACTAGTGTTTAACTATACTTTACAACAAAGGGTACTAGTGTTTAACTATACTTTACAACAAAGGGTACTAGTGTTTAACTATACTTTACAACAAAGGGTACTAGTGTTTAGCTATACTTTACAACAAAGGGTACTAGTGTTTAACTACACTTTAAAACAAAGGGTACTAGTGTTTAACTATACTTTACAACAAATGGTACTATTGTTTAACTATACTTTACAACAAAAGGTACTATTGTTTAACTATACTTTACAACAATGATTATATTTTCTTTGGTACACTTGTACTTTTATTTCTTTTACATGGAAACAGTCAAAATAAAATTACAAACGATAAGAGAGTTTGGTAGAAAAGGATTCTTTCCCAAAGTTACCATACAGAATTGTTAAAGTCTATTACTAGTGCTAACTTCAAGGTGTTCTTTAGGATAACTTGATCCTCAAATTTACTTTTACCCTGCTCATTACGAAAGGAATCAACATATTGATTAATTTTATACTTTTGCCCATTCCAACTGACCAAAAAATTGGATGAAATGACACGGTCAGTAATTAATGGAATTGATTAAAATGTTGACACAATTTGTTTGCGTGTGTGTGTTAGTCTTATAATAATCAATTTCACATTTAAACCAATTTAACGCTTATTTTCAGCGTAAAAACATGCCTTACCCTTCACGTATGTTTGAATAAAACCAAGTATTAATTTGAAAATTTTGATGTATTTTAGAATTATGGAGGGGTCAACACGGATAAGCGAGTACTATAGTAGCCAATTATTTGAGTTAGTAAGAATTGAAAAAAATAACTTTTAGTTATCCAACTCTTGTACGATTAATGGAGTCGAATCCTTCTACTATTAATAAGCCAAAAGAATCTCTGCTCAAATTCTTTGTTTACTGACAGTGACAGGCTTAACATCTAGGCTTAGGCTCTTGGCTTATACTTGTCAAAGTATACCATGCTTTTCCTTCTATATAATAATAATAATAAAAGAATTACTGTGATTAGAATGTTATAAAGTTACCGTTCAGAAACTGTTGTATCGTACTCTGATCTTTCAAAGAAGATTCTAACTGTTTACGTCTATCTTCAATAGCCAAGTGCAAGAGGCGCCATCTAGTGTTTAGTTCTTCAAGTCGATTAAGATTAGCGTGGGAGAGTAGAACGTTGCATCCTGTTATACGACCGGCTGCTTCGTTTACATCTTCTAAATACCGCTGTAATGGAGTGACTCTTTCTTTGAAACCCTACATTTGAAAACAGCAAAATCGCCATTACTCGATAACGTTCGAACTATTTAACAAATGGTCTAGCCACCTTGGAAAAAATACTAACTTTTGTTTGTTATGGATTTCGCGCAAAGCTACACAAGAGCTATCTGCGCTAGCCGTCCCTAATTTAGCAGTGTAAGGCAGCTAGTCATCACCACCCACCGCCAACTCTTGGGCTACTCTTTTACCAACGAATAGTGCGATTGAACGTCCCATTATAACGCCCCCACGACTGAAAGGAGCGAGCATTTTGGTGTGACGGGGATTCGAAGCAGCGACCCGCAGATTGCGAGTCGAGCGTCCTAACCACCTGCCCATGCCGGGCCTCTACATAATAGGCTATCAGTGCTGTGCCCACCACGGGTGTCGAAATCCGATTTTTTAGGGTTATTAGCTTTACTGCTGACCCATTGGGGAAGAGCTAATTATAATTATTTGAAAAATGTAAAGGTGGGAAAGAACTACATTTTTTAATCTCTCGGTGGGTCAATGCTAAAAATCTGGGTTCAATTCCCCGAATTGGACAGAACGCACATAGCCCAAACAATAAAAATTAACTTTTTAATTGTTTTACGAATGTAAAAGCGCTAAAGGACTAACTTTAAAAAATTAAACACAACGCTGTCAAGGTATCAATATTTAAAGTAAGAAACGCTTTCTTATAGTCCAGTGGGTATGAACTAGTAAGCTGCCATATAAATCATTACCAACACTAATTATAACTGACAACCACGATATTTTCTAGCTGGGGTGTATTTACAAGTTTTTCTAAGATTCTCACCCGTATTTCGTCTAAGTGTCCTTGCATCTGGTCTAAGACGAATTCAGAAATTGGTGGCCATCTAGACCTGGTAGCTTCGGCCGCTAGGAGGCGTGAGTTCATTTCTTCCATGATTCGTTGGAGAATCTGCATTTTCTGAATGACAAAAAAAAGTAATCTTATAACGTATTTCCATGTTTGTAACAGAACCATTTATTTGTCAGTCAAAAACTGAACAGAGATGGTAGCAAATAACATGCTAATCGCAGAGCGTCAGACAGTTAAAATAAAGTGTTTGTTTGTTGCATTTCGCACAAAGCTGTCAGAAGGCTATCTACACTAGCCATCTCTAATTTGGGAATTATAGACTAGAAGGAATAACGTCCATCTTGGGATACTTCTGTTAGACCGAATAGTGAAATTTGACCGTTTTTTTTGTTGTTTAATATATCTATTTGTGTAACGGAACTTTAAGTACACAGTCTCACACATTGACCGCTAGGTTCAAATTATAATGACTTGCCATCACATTGCTATATTTTCGTTTCCTTTTTTGTTGTTTTTTTCACGACGTTTTGAAATTTATATGTTGAATTGAATATTCTACCATATTAAACAAATAAACAAGTAGAATCTAACCCCCGCATTTTACTTTTTTTTATTTTTGCAATAACCAACCTCAATTATACACCTAACAATTCTCCACTCTCAAAAATATTGGTCTATGTAACAAGATCCTTTTTCTATTTTAACATGGCTTCGAATTTTGGCAGTTTTTTTTTAAATCCCAATTTTCTACCTTTGTAATGAAAGTGGTTGACCTTCAGTGTGACCTTGACCTTTGGACTATATTCTCCTAAGGTTAACCTATTTGTTCTTGGCTTGAGACAACCTTTGTACCAAATCTTATCAAAAGAAAAACTTTTGAATTATGCAGTTATCCTTCAGTGTGACCTTTGACCTATATTCACTAAAAGTTAATCATTTGGTTCTTTGGGAACACTCAACCTTTGTACCAAATTTGATTTTCTTGCTTTTTTGTTGTTAAGCGCAATAACCTGACTGTTCTCTGCTCACTACGGGTATCGAACCTCGATTTTGACACATCATAAGCCCTCAGACTTACCGCTGAGCCATCAGGAGGACAGGGGGAAATGATTCTATCGGGAAATGTTTTTCTCTAAAAAGTTAAAATTACGATTGTTTATAAATTAATTTTTATTAATTCTTAGATACAACATAAAATGATTTGTATACGAGTTTAAAATGCTTACAGAAAGGAGTCAAATTTGTTATATGCCACACACGTTTTGAGTTTTATTTCCTTTCTGTATAATCACTTTTATTCATCTGTTTATAGACTAAACCTAATTATTTAAGGGTCGTTAGTTGGGGTATTTCATGTATTCTCCGAAAACACCAAAAATTGTTATTATCTTTTATGGAGAAGGGAGATATGTGGTCATTGTATCGGTCAAATGACCTTCATAATGCCTAGTTGTGTCAGTCTTATCTAGTAGTGAATTCCTTCATCATGTAGTTGAACCAATGAGAAAGCAGGACGTCATTCTGACAGCTGTCTCCTTAGCACGTGACATGGGATAATGGTTGGTACTATCAACTAACAGTCAATGATTGGTTTGCTTGTTTCATAATTTTTGTTCAGACTTACACACAAAATTACTGTCATTCGAGAGGTGATCAGAGTAGAGAGAAGGTAGTTAATCCTTAACACTCATCTCCAACACTGAGTATTCTTATCTGACCGAAGAGTGGGGTTTCGTTTTGTTTTGAATTTCGCGCAAAGCTACACGAGGGCCACCTGCGCTAGCCGCCCATAATTTAGCAATGATAAACTAGAGGGAAGGTAGGTAGTCAACACCATCCACCGCCAACTCTTGGCTTTTACTAACGAATAGTGGGATTCACCGTCACATTTTAATCCACGGCTGAAAGAGCGAGTATGTTCGGTGACGGGGATTCGAACTCGTGACCCTCAGATTGCAAATTCAGCGCCTTAATCACTAGACCATGCCAGGCCTGAAGGGTGGGATTTGACTGTCAATTTTATGGCGCACTCATGACTCCAAAGTAAAGAGCAATATTTATGGTAACGGAACTCGAACCTTGAATCATCGGATTCGCAGTCTTGGCAAACTAATTCCTTCGCCACGCTCGGTCTAACGGTGTGCAATTGTCCACGTCTTAGTAACTTATAAGTTTTAGTGCAATATTCAAACTAAATTGAATCCAAACTTTTGAATTTCTAACAGCACAAAAGAAGAGTTTTACAATGGATTTCTCACTTTGTAATAGTTTTAGTTAACTGATCAAATTTTGTTATTTTAATATCAAATGTAGAGACAAGAAATTCGAGTACAATTATTATCCTTAGGACTAAACACCTAAAAAATATATCAGTTTAAACATTATCCTTAGGACTAAACACCTAACAAAATATATCAGTTTAAACATTATCCTTAGGACTAAACACCTAACAAAATATATCAGTTTAAACATTATCCTTAGGACTAAACACCTAACAAAATATATCAATTTAAACATTATCCTTAGGACTAAACACCTAACAAAATATATCAATTTAAACATTATCCTTAGGACTAAACACCTAACAACATATATCAGTTTAAACATTATCCTTAGGACTAAACACCTAACAAAATATATCAGTTTAAACATTATCCTTAGGACTAAACACCTAACAAAATATATCAGTTTAAACGGACTTATAGGAAAATTTTGATTTTCAAAAGAATCTTCGGGGTTTAGTAATAATTAAAATACTCTAATGTCATGCAAATTGAGTAACGATCTCTTTTGGCTATGAGTCATTATTTCCTATCAAAATTGGTGTATTCTCATTCAGAAACACCGCTATTTCAATTAGTTAGAGCTCGTGAATGTCTAGAATGTATAAGTAAATTAGTTACTTTTCTTGTACATAATTAAAGTTAATTAAACTCAAGAAAGGTTATTAAATCCAAAACTTAATTAGACAATCTATAGACAGGTGCCTTCTGCAACTCGGCATTTAATTTCTCCCTGTATTTATCTGGTTTTATAACACGATTCTATGCATAATAAAATAGAAAGAACTAGAAGAGTCTCAGTTCATAGTCTCACTTTTAATTTTTTTTTTACATAGAAAAGTGCCCGCTATTGTTGGAGAAACAAACACAGATGTTTTTCACCTCATTTCAAGCAAGCTTTATTCTGTCACTGTGTTAGGCTTACACAACGATAAATTAACGTTAGATTCTGCCTAGATTAAACAGCCCTCTTTGAAACTTAAAACGATCTGAAGTAATTCCATTTGAGCTATTTACGTTTAAAACTTACCGTTAAAACATCATCCATCCATTTATGGCGCTGTTCAGTGTGGGCTAAAAGAGAGTTCCACTTATCCGAAAGCTTTTTCACCTCTCTCCTGATGCTGCGGGTAATTTCCCTTGCTTGTTCTTCTGCACTACGGTAACCCCTACTTTCTGTCTCATAGTCTTTAGCTGTAATATAAATAAATACAATATACAACTACAACAATGTTTGTAGAAATTTCACAATCGCTGAAGAAATTTTAAATAAAAAGGAATAAAACGTAATTTAAAACATTTTCAAGCAATTCCAGAGAATTCTTTTTTCCCCCCTTTTTAACCTTTATATATTTATTATAATTTTGTTAGTCCAACTAAAACATCGATTGTTTAGTACTGTTAGTTTAGATAAAAGCAGAAGTTTGACGTTATTTTTAGGATGACAGTTTTAAATGAAAGTGATTTTAAAAAAGGAAGAAGAAGAAGATGAAGAATTGACGAACATATTAACCGTGCCAACCACGGGTATCGAATGGGGGAACGAAAAGTTCACGAAATATAAAATCAGTATTATCATAATGATTTGAAATTATTTACTGTTTGAATGATTGTATTTAGCCAACAAATAATTGAACTTTTCTCAGTTAGAAAAAGGAACCATTTCTGCCTTTAATAGATTTTGAAACATAACTGTATTTTTACTGTGATCGTGACCTCTGTAATACATCCGTTTCTCGCTTACATTTAACCAGAATCTATCATATTCTCCAAGTAACTTGTCATCTTAAATAATGTCATTAATAAAGTATATTCATTAATATGATTAACTTGATTTAATTAAGTACTTTTTTTTTGCACTCGCATTAGCCCTCTGGCGGCTCAACACCAAGTTTGGGAGTTTATAACGCTGAAAATTAGTTTCGATACCCGCGTTGAGCAGAGTACAGATAGCCCATCGTGTAGCTTTGTGCTTCTGAGTAACAGATTCAAATACAGTTGATTTGTTTTTGTTTTTTTTTCAATTGTGACATTTTGGAATAATCTAGAAACACGGCGAAAATAAATGGAGTAACTAAACAGTTTATAGTTCTTGTGTGATACTTTTCGAGATTTACTATTTTATTTCTGAAAGTCTTCCGTTTTGGTCAAAAGATAAAACAATAAGTAAACTCACAATTACAAATGACTCTTTGGAAAGAGTTGCACGGTACCTTCAGAATCGCTAGTGTCTGATAACGGTGGTTCCTTAGCAACGTACTGTCTTCCCACCAGGAGGCTACTCTCGATCACAGGGCGCTTGTCGTCCAGCTGTCTACGAAATGCGCGATGTTCATCTTGCTGTTTGAGAATGCTGGTGACGTCACCACCAAGGGCTGGTTGGGCGGCTAGTTCGGTTTCTTTCTTTATAACCCATTCGGTAAGCTCTCGTAAAGAAAGGAGTAATTGATTCCACTGTTCTGCACTGCTTTCAAGACGATTCCTGGGTCACAGCACCAAGATATACGGGTCAGTGTTAGAACATGATATTTATAGCAGACTATATATATATATCCAGTTTGCAAAAGACGCATATTTTCAATAAAGTGCCACAGTAGAACCACTTATTTAAAGCACTCCAAGGAACTGACCCGGAGGCTCAAACGTTTCTAAAGAATATATCATTATTCACCAATAATAAACAATACTTCTTTTGCATCTGATGAAGAAGTGACGTTTATTCTTTGAGTTATGATACTTCTAATTAATATTAATTTCCGATCAGGTGAAGTTACGTACTTAGAGCGAAACTAAAGATAACGATTAAAGCTGATAAATATAATTTTCTTACGTTCTTACTTATAAAGGTTAGAATGCATTGTTTTATCAGTCATACACTCTTGCTGTTAACGTATTTTCGGCCGTAAACCCAATAATATCTCACGAAGGTCAGTCAGCTTAGGAGGGTTAGGTTAGCCCTAAATACATGTGTTAAACTATCAATGCAAAACTATTTCTATAATGAAAGTATAGCAATAAAGAATCAAATTACAAACTAATAAAATTAAATGTATTAAACTATAACGAAAAATGTTAATGAAAGTAACAATAAGAAGATAATAAGGTGTATCATTGATCGAGCTATGATGTGCTTTTTGCTAACTGCGAATATTAAGATTAACAGCCTTTTAAAGCATAAGTTAAAAAAAACACAAGCATTAACTAAATATCAATTTACAAAAATATATGGTTAATTACCAGAATAGTTTCGACATACCACGTATGTCATTTTCAAGGGTACAGATTGTGAAAAATGTGACATCCCCGACTAATATTTTTCTGTCCGTCAATTCTGAGAAATGATACTTGTGGATACTACTACTATAAGTAGTTCCTGGTTATCTAAGTGAAGCAGTTTGGGAAGTATCATACATAGCAACAACGACCTAAGTAGTTCTTAGTTACCTGAGTGAGGCAGTTTGGGAAGTATCATACATAGCAACATAGACCTAAGTAGTTCTTGGTTACATGAGAAAGGCAGTTTGGGAAATATCACGCATAGCAACAACGACCTAAGTAGTTCTTAGTTTCCTGAGAGAGGCAGTTTGGGAAGTATCATACATAGCAACATCGACCTAAGTAGTTCTTGGTTACATGAGAAAGGCAGTTTGGGAAATATCACGCATAGCAACAACGACCTAAGTAGTTCTTAGTTTCCTGAGAGAGGCAGTTTGGGAAGTATCATACATAGCAACATCGACCTAAGTAGTTCTTGGTTACATGAGAAAGGCAGTTTGGGAAATATCACGCATGGCAACAACAACAACCTAAGTAGTTCTTGGTTACCTGAGAGAGGCAGTTTTGAGACGTAAAGCGTTCCAACGTTGGTTCATTTCCTCCAGTTTTCGTCTCAACAGCAGCGCATCATCTTGACTTTCCAAGCTCTGAAGAAGTTGACCACTTCGCTCGTTTAGGGTCAAGTGAAGGTCACGCTGGCTCTCGATCTCCCTTTGAAGCTCCTAGTCAGACAGCAATAGTGATCAATGAGCAGACCGCTAAAATTTTAATATACAGAGTTAATTATAACAATCTGTAGTTTTATATCAAATGATAGTTTCATAAACTGACCTATTGTAAACATCACAAGGTTTAAGTTTGTTATAAGCCGTAACATTTGATTTAATTACGAGGCCTATGCAAGCTCTATTCTGACTGAAACATTTAGATAGCAGTTCTCGTAATAACACTTGCTACAATGTATGTTTATGTTGGACCTGGGGTTTTAAGATAATCATCAAGTGACATGTAAATTACTCAATTGACCCAGCAGGGTTAGCCGAAATAAAAGGTTATTTATTTTATCCTTCAGGAGGTGAAATCTAGGGACACGGTAGTGACCCCCAGTCAAGTTAGACGAATGGAGTAACACTTTCGTGACTCTAGATTCAGAACTAAACGTTTGGCTAAATCTGGGGTATTGTCACAGCTGTTTCAAATGTAGAAATATCATTAATAAGATATATCATATTTTATATCACATTAAAAACACCGGCTCAGAATGTGGTAGCTATATTGTTCTTGTACTTGTTGAAGAGGCAAACCATTGAGTAAATAGAGAAGGATTGACACGAAACAACCTACCACTGGTCAACATTAATTTGATTCAACAACTGTAACACACGTGTTAATCATAGTTTTTTGGTAATTTTCAGGAGAATTGCTCACCACAGTCACTAGATTAAAATTGGAATCTTACTTTTAATGAAAAATGTATTACGTCTGTTATAGAATAAGATAAATAGGGCTAACGTAGGTTTTAATAAAGATAATAAAAAAGTTCATTTATTTTAAAAAATAGATTTTTTAAAATGAAATAAGCAACAAATGTACTAAATATCTTATCGTGCAGCTTTGCGCGAAATTCATAACAAACCCAACCTTTCTTTTACCTTGGCTCTGTTTGCACAAAGAAAATGTTTTGATCAAATGCTAGTGAAAGTAACTGGGGAAAAACATTTTTATATTTACTCTTTTTTAAACAATCGATATGAGTCATGCGAAAGTCAGCTGGCTAACTGTCAATGCTGGTTAAGAAAGGTCAATATATGTATCCAAGCAACAGAGAAACCTTTATCAGTATTCATAACAACGAACAACAACCAGTGTTAACTAAACAGTCTCTTTAGTTGATAAAACAGGCCAATGTATGTATCCAAGCAACGTACAGCAACCAGTGTTAACTAAACAGTCACTTTAGTTGATAAAACAGGCCAATATGTGTATCCAAGCAACAGAGAAACCTTTATCAGTATTCATAACAACGTACAACAACCAGTGTTAACTAAACAGTCACTTTAGTTGATAAAACAGGCCAATGTATGCATCCAAGCAACAGAGAAACCTTTATCAGTATTCATAACAACGTACAACAACCAGTGTTAACTAAACAGTCTCTTTAGTTGATAAAACAGGCCAATGTATGTATCCAAGCAACATGTATACTTAATCAATCATTTGACAGTTGAAATACATTATAAATAGTAACACAAGTAGACAAGTGATTTAAATTATATAGAGTTAACCCAAACAGACAGTTGAAATACATTATAAATAGTAACACAAGTAGACAAGTGATTTAAATTATATAGAGTTAACCCAAACAGACAGTTGAAATACATTATAAATAGTAACACAAGTAGACAAGTGATTTAAATTATATAGGGTTAACCCAAACAGACAGTTGAAATACATTATAAATGGTAACACAAGTAGACAAGTGATTTAAATCATATAGAGTTAACCCAAACAGACAGTTGAAATGTAACGAGGTAACCCAAAGAGACTAGTGAAATACTCCACACAAACTTAATCACAACTAATAAATTCATCTTGAATTATGAACTGTGGTTTAGCATGAACACATATACACTCTTCCACAAGACATATACCAGTTTTCACACCTACTTAATACGTACACAGAGGCTTGGTACGTTATATTAAAACGAATATGATGCCTCACCATGCTGTTGCAGGACATGTTGCCACGTCTGGTCATGCTCTGTATGATGACAGTGTATCTTGATCATAATCCTGCAGCGTAGTTCCCAATGAAACACTCCGTCGTAAGGTTTTTATGTCAAAATCACACCACTTCTCCCTGTTAGCTTTCAATAATCCATCAAGTGCACGAGGATGGCGATTTCCCATTAGGACGGTCTGATCGCTTATATATCCATAGAGGCGGTATACAGTGTTTTGACTGGTATGTCTTGGTATGGAATAACACATAAGTACCCGTTTAATTCTCCAGCTGTTTGAGGTATGTGATAGTTAAATGGATATGTCGTGGAAGCAACAACTTGTGTTGCTTTTCCAGACACAAATAATTCTTGAATGTGTTGTGTACTGTTGGATGAAACACGTGGACGGTTTTTGCCACTGACCTTTGTGCTCGTGGGTTCTCATCTGTTACAAGATACACCACTTAGCTTGCAATGGTTGAGGGGTTCGATTTGTTGCAGGTATCTCTTCAGACGGTACTGGTGCCCCAAGTTCATCCAAATTCATTGGTTTTCCAATACCATTAAATGTAATGGATATCACGATTTCATAAGTTCTAAATCCCCAAATAGGGACCAGCTCTAGAATGACTATATGTGTCGATACATCTTCAAGATAGTGGCGTAAGAACAGGAGTCAAACAGGAGTCAACAGGAGTCAAACTAGGGATTTAATACATCTTCAAGATGGTGGCGTAAGAACAGGAGTCAAACAGGAGTCAACAGGAGTCAAACAGGAGTCAACAGGAGTCAAACAGGAGTCAACAGAAGTCAAACTAGGGATTTAACACATCTTCAAGATGGTGGCGTAAGAACAGGAGTCAAACTAGGGATTTAATACATCTTCAAGATAGTGGCGTAAGAACAGGAGTCAAACAGGAGTCAACAGGAGTCAAACTAAGGATTTAAATTATTCATTTGTTTACTGGAATTTTTTCCTGGACCAGAAAAATTAGTCGTCTTAGCAGCACCTTTTGGTTTATCATTTTTTACGCAAAGCTATGCGAGGTCTATCTGCACAAAGTCGTCCCTAATTCTGAACTGATATTCAACAGAACCCACCGCCAACTCTTTAGTTACTCTTGTTTGACCGAATAGAGGGGTTTTGACTATCAGTTTTATGGCGCACCAACGGCCCCAGAATGCGGAGCTCGTTTTTTTTTTTGCGACAAAGGGACACGAACATGGAACGATTGGATTCACAGAAAGGACACTGTTGGGGCATTTGCACCTTTTAATGAAAATATTAAGTACTTTTCCCGTTCAGTGGCACGTGAAAGTCACAGTTACCTCTAGTTTATACCTCAAAAAAGGCACGACAGCCAAAAAAAAAAAAAAATTAGGGCAAAAACTTACAGCAATGATGAAAGTATAGCTGAAATGTTCTTCCTGACCAATTACTTTCTCTCGGGATACACCGAGAATTGATTAACTTTTGTCTTGTCATTCATGACGTCAGTATTAGGTTTATAGGTCACGTACCTTCTTTATGTCCACGTAAGTATGTGTGTGTGATATAATGCAACCAATTACGAACATGCATTGCTAAGGTAAGGAAGAGTATATTGAAGGATAAATACATCCAGGAGTTGCTTGTTAGACGATGGTTGTTTGGAGGAGATTGTGTTGGTTCTATAAGGGTTAAGTTTTCATTATAATGACAGAGTAAAATATAAACGTGATTTTGTTTACATGATGTAAAAATGCTTGAGTTTTAATTAAGGATTACTGTTTGTTTGTTTGCTTGAAGTGAAGCACAAAGCTACACATTGGGCTATTTGTCCTCTGATCACCAAGTGTATCGAAACCCGGTTTCTAGCGTTGTAAATCCGCAGACATACCATTGGGGGACAAGGATTAATGTAACAAATTACAAAAATAGATACCCTCCCCCAGTCTGACTGATAACTGTTCTAAAAGAGCTTGGCACTACGAAGCCAAACCACGTTACTACACATCAGATGGAACGAAAGATTAAAACAACGTTACTACACATCAGAAGAAACGAAAGTAAGCCAAACCACGTTACTACACATCAGAAGGAACGAAAGTAAGCCAAACCACGTTACTACATATCAGAAGGAACGAAAGATTAAAACAACGTCAACAATATTCTAGTTTATTCCAGTTTGTTATTCTATAAAACAAAATCAGTAAACCTTACGAAGTAAAACGACGTCAACAAATAATACCTTTTAAAACAAAGATCAAAACCTGTTATTGTTAATGCTTTAGATGACTTATCTGGTATTGCTTTTAAACGGCCAAAAACACTCAGATTCATAAGAAAACTAAAACAGATGCGTTTAAACCGTAGTTTCGTGGAAAGACAGGACCATACTTATCATATCATGCCAGAAAAAAATTTGTTATCTCTCAGATGACCTCATAGTATGTGAGTAGCACGAGCCAATTGCTAGATGATACATAGCAAACACTGAGTAACTGACTTAACTCGTGACAGAAGAGATTAATGTAGTAGACAGTATGATTAAGATATGGCATCTTACACGTCACTTCCGCTCTCGTGCTTCTAGATAATGTGCACCATCTGTTACCGAGGGACCGCGAGATTCGAGGCGAGATGTTATTGACTTTGGTACTTTTATTTCAATGTGTAAAATAACGAGCCATGAAAGAAAATTCTGTATTATTCAAATAATGTATAATATTCACTTTTTTGTTTTTCAAAATATAATACTGGACATAACTGAATTTTTAATAGTGTTCGAAATATTTAATGCAAGTAAGAATTTATTGATTTCCTTAAAGATCTACAGTTTTAACAATGGTTTCTGCCATTGGTAAAAAGGTAAATTTTCTTTTTTTAATGTTCGAATAAATATTTATGCAACACTTTTTGAACATGCCTAACAGCTTTGAGTACCAATATTTATTTTTCCATACGTTTGTATATTTGCTATGTTCTTTGGCGCAAAGCTATACAATGGGCTATATGCATTTTTGACACCGCAGGAATCAAACCCTGATTTTAACGTTGTGAGTCCGTATACTTATCGCTGATCTAACGGGGGACTTTCTCATGTGTAAAGTCTATGGCTGTCTAGACCACCGTATTCGTATTTTGTTTTTAAGTACAAAGCTATACAATGGGCTATCTTCGCTGTGCCCTTAGTTAATTTCGAATTCAGATTTTTATGGCTATAGGCCCTCAAGCTTACCGTTAACCCCTTTAGTAATGTTAGAAATAACGTGTGTATATTTAAATATCAGCGTTTTATTTAAGGAAGTCAATCTAGTAAAGGCAAAACACAAAATTGTAATATTTTTGAATTCTGTCTGTTTTTTTTTCTCTCTGCTTAACGTTCGACTTTGTAGTGACGTATGCTTAACAACAAAAGGCACTAGCGGATTCATGGGAGTACGGTCCCTCTTTTTCATAATTTTACACCCCCATGCTTTAAACTGTGCCCCTTTTAACAATAAATAATTTCAATAAAATGTTTTATTTCCTGCCTCTCCTAGCTACAGGTCAATAATTTATAATATTATATTTAAGTTTGATTTATCATCTGGCTGCATCGATAAAAATGATGTAATATGGCGTCAATCCAGGGGACCACTCCCCCTTTTCCAAAATCCTAGATTCGCTACTGATAATAGGTAGGGTTCTTAGGCTTATCGTTCATTCAATAACTCACAATCCTAAGGTTGGACCAACAATTAAAGGATGACGATGATGGGGTTCAAAGTGAAGTAACAAACTACTTAGTCAATACAGCCCCTTTCTGTTTTTACATAGCAATGCCTATTGTAAAAACAAACATTGGACCACGTGCCTTTTACAGTAGGGTTAAAGGTTCTTAGATAAATATTATCAGGCTTATAAACACGCCATAAACTCTCTTTTCTTGAACTGTAATCAAATCCACTGATTTGGAACAAATTTCGAAAACAATTTCATCATAATTAAACAAAAACTTCTTAGAAATTGTCAGAACTTTGACTAACAACCCTCTCATTCTGTGGATAAAAATGTCGTTAGGGTATCGACAACGAATCCTCTAATTACATTCCATACATAAAGGAACTGATTGATTTAAAATCATCTTATAATACTGTATAAATACGTCGGTGTCAAACTAAACGAAATTCATTGTTTATAGATAAACAAAAACCATCTTAAAAGGATTTAAACATGTTGTAAAATCATTTTAGAGAATTAAAAAATTATCACGTAGATGAAATCTTGGGAATGTTTATAGAGAATTTAACCTTCTTGTATCGTTATTCAGTCTTGGGAATGTTTATAGAGAATTTAACCTTCTTGTATCGTTATTCAGTCTTGGGAATGTTTATAGAGAATTTAACCTTCTTGTATCGTTATTCAGTCTTGGGAATGTTTATAGATAATTTAACCTTCTTGTATCGTTATTCAGTCTTGGGAATGTTTATAGAGAATTTAACCTTCTTGTATCGTTATTCAGTCTTGGGAATGTTTATAGAGAATTTAACCTTCTTGTATCGTTATTCAGTCTTGAGAATTTTTATAGAGAATTTAACCTTCTTGTATCGTTATTCAGTCTTGGGAATTTTTATAGAGAATTTAACCTTCTTGTATCGTTATTCAGTCTTGGGAATGTTTTTATCTTTAAATCTTAATAATTTAGAACTTTTATGTTTTATTCTTACCTTTTCCATTTTCATCAGCAGAAAACGACTGCCGAAAGTCAACCGGATCATGTTCACCCAAGAAGATGGACTGATGGGATGATGGGCAAGTTAATAGTAGTTGTGGGAAATTACTGGATCATGTTCACCCAAGAAGATGGACTGATGGGATGATGGTCAAGTTAATGGTATTTGTGGGAAATTACTGGATCATGTTCACCCAAGAAGATGGACTGATGGGATGATGGGCAAGTTAATGGTAGTTGTGGGAAATTACTTCATCATCTTTCAATATTATTCTCTTACCCATAATGCTGTTCGCATCTTAGTTTATTTTGATATAAACACCTACTTACAATACATCACTCTCGTCATAGAAATTTACCTTTTTTGGGGGAGGAGGTAAATACAAAAAAATATCAGTCTATGGCTAACTATATTAGCTCTAGAGAAACTGCTAATAATAAAACTATAATTTTTTTTGTTTTTTAATATCGTATCGTTCTTTAAAATTCGCTGCTGTCCAAACTCTATCAACACCTCGCTTTTTAATCACGTAGATAGAAACACTTTTCTACAAACATCTTTGGGTATTTTCAAAAACTTTTCCTAAACTTATGTTTTGTTTGTTTTTAATTATGCACAAAGCTACACAAGGGCTATCTGTGCTCTGCCCACCACGGGTATCGAAACCCGGTTTCTAGCGTTGTAAGTCCGCAGACATACCGCTGTGTCACTGGGGGGGGGGGGCTAAACTTATGAAGCAACCTACAATTTTAAGCCACGAAACCTTATACTCAACTATAAAATGTAGACCAGATTATTAAATAACATATTTATAAAGATGATTTTCAAAAAAAACAAACATTTGCTTAAAGTGTTACACACACTCGCAGTCTCCTGAAACGACAGATGAAGAAAACAGATTCTCTGCTAACCCTGATACATCCTATGTTTTCTGAAGTGTGGATGGGTGCCCAAGGCAAGAAGAGGTCAGGCCTCGCTCGTGCCGTGACGACAACAAGACGCAGTTGACGTTCGAGAACGAAACCGGCCATCTGTCATTCCAATCTTTCTCGTCACTTTTTCCTCTTTCACAAATTTATCTTGAAAACAACGTGTTATTTCTCACTAAAAGTTCGATATAAGTTTAAGAAGTTCTCAAGTACAGGAGGCAGAAATAGTCTAAAATTAAAGAACGGGCCTTTTATTCACACCTTCTGTTCTTCTGCATTTACTAAAGCCACGATACTCAAAGCAATTCCTAAGATTGTATTCGTGGCAAATATAAATTGTCCCTAATTTTCAACCACTGGTCAGAGAGAAGGCGGTCAATCAGCAGGACCATACCACCCTAAAAATGAGGGGAATATTTTGTGGTATCTCACGGATTTGAAGCCGGGTTACTATTTTCGTAACCTAGAGTTCTACCACAGAACTAACCCACGCACCAATGTAAGTAAAACCGTTGAACGCTATTTTAACAGCTGCAATGGATAGACACACGTGTTCGCAGAAACGTAAAAGAAACAAAGGGTATAAATAAACATCTGAATCAACCTTTTTAAATATATATATATGTACATCAATAAGCTTTTAGTCACTACGGTTGAAAACGGAATTAATTATAAACTTCCACTAGGTGTCTCTGAGATCCCTGGTAATCCATTATAATAAAAAAATAACTTGGTTTGAATTGCCACTGAAATTATTCTGAAACTGAAGTTGATTGGAACACGTGAAACAACTGTAATAAACTGATATGCAAAAAAAGGAGAAAATAAAACAGTTAAAATTGGGGGCAACATTTTAATTTGGTAAAAGTGAAGCTGAAGTACTTAATATTAGGCCCATTTTAACAAATGAGACAAATTCTGAATTTTGTTGATTTTTTTCTTATTTTCGTGTTCGTTACTAGTTTTAAATATTTGTAACTCTACATAAACAGTTAAATTATTTTTATTACCCCTCACCCTGACTTGTTCTGGCCATCCTCTGACACATTGCATGTCTTCTCGCGGACCATATTTCTCTGATTCCAATTCCAGAATCTCGAACGTGGACTCAGCTTCTGAAAGCCATGCTAGAAATCTGTCCAGGGCTTTGTCCAGTTGTTGTAGAGAGTTGAGGGCTTTTTGTAGAGCTTTACTTCTTGACTGGATACTGATAATTATACAATACCCTCAAACGTTACAACTAAATATCCACAAACGTTAGTGCTTAATAAACTCTAATGATGCTACTTAATACCCTCAAACTTTAATGTTTGATATTCTCAACTGATATTATTTAATACCCTCAAACGTTACAACTAAATATCCACAAACGTTAGTGCTTAATAAACTCTAATGATGCTACTTAATACCCTCAAACTTTAATGTTTGATATTCTCAACTGATATTATTTAATACCCTCAAACGTTACAACTAAATATCCACAAACGTCCGAGTACGCTAACCACTAGGCTATACTTGACCCGATTTGAAACAAATTCCAAATTCTAATAGGTATCCTTTTTTTTTGTTAATTGACTGTTTGGTAATGAATAATTATAGGAGATTCAATACTTCATATACGTCATCATACTAACCGTGAAGATAGTTCGGCGTATCTCTGGTAAATTAGGTCAGTCATATCCCGAAGCCGTAACGTTTCGTCGTGAGAAATTTCACTGGTCAACTTGTCAACCAATCGGCTTAGACTTTCTAACGCTGGCTTCCATTGGTGGAGTTCATTCTGAAGAACCTATCATTGTGATAACCATTATTTTCCTTACATTTGAGTTTTAAATGTATTTCAGATTATCTCAACACTTTCATAAAATACCATATAGCTTTGTTAGAACACTTAGCGTTATTAGAACACTTAGCTTTGTTAGGTCACTTAGCTTTGTTAGAACACATAGCTTTGTTAGAACACATAGCTTTATTAGAACACTTAGCTTTGTTAAACACTTAGCTTTATTATGACACATAGCTTTATTAGAACTCTTCCTGCTGATAAAATCTAATCAAATACACATCATCTGTGAGAAAAAGGTGCGACAAAAAAAAAGAAAAAAGAATTGAGTGTGTGACTTAAAGGAATAAAATCAAAATTGGCGACCAAACTGGTAAACTACACTTATAGCATTGATAAGAATTTTACAGCAAATATTCATTCAAT